GGTCCTACTCTGGAAACGATGATGCATACAGTGGACTCCGGACTAGGTGCGTTTCTTTAAGTCTTCCTACTAATATGACCGAGTTGCGAAAACAAGATCAAACAACTTCTATTCAACGAAAGGAGACTGCGACCACACAAAAGGCCCATCTTGGTCTTTATACTTATAAATTAGTTTAGTTAGTCGATGAACAGAGTATAGAAGGTAAAGCTTTGCTTGTTGGTTTTAATGTTGAGTTGATGTACACTACTCAGTCTACTCAGGCTCGAGAATTAACTTTAGACCGAAAAACGAATATTCTGAGAAATACAAATTCAGATAAGGAGTCAATAATTGGGTTGACGAATTTAGTGATGAGCTGTACATATTTTACTTTAAATAGTAGACTGTACCAACTAATACGAGCCCTAACTATGCAATCATGTTTGTCCACAATTTTAGCAAATAACTACATGGCTAATTTAGAACGTCACCTTATACAAGAGAGACTTTCAGTTTTTAAACTATTGGTTAGGTACATGGATAAGTACTTTTCGGTATGCTAAAATGTCAAAGAAAGCATTGGATGATTCGATGATGCATGGAATCGACGGGAATATCAAGTTCACCATGGAACTGTAAAATGATAGTAATTTACCTTTTCTATATGTCCTAGTTAACAGAGGCAAGTAAACTGACTATAAATGTGTATAGGAATCCCACGAATGCGGGGTTCTTTTTAAATTTCTTTTCATGCCATACTTATGGAGTTAAAGTAGGAATTATGAAATTCATGGTCGTAAAAGCCTGTGCCCTGCGAAAACAAGGTCAAACAACTTCTATACAACGAAAGGAGATTGCCACCACACATAAGGCCACAGCATATTGGTCTTCATAGCTTCAAGGACAATTTTATCTGAGAATGCTTACCCATTAAGATTAATTGAGTACTGCTTTAAAATACTACTAACTAGGATGGAGGAAAACATCCATTTGGCGCAAAATAGGCAGCTGGACCACCTGACTAGAGTCCTGATTATAGCGTCGTGCCAGCTTTCAAAAAAGATGGATGAACTACTGAGGAAGTGGGACATCAAGACAATTTATATGGAGAAAATATCAGTAATGCCATCCTTTCGGAAAATTTCGGACCCACTTTTCAAATTATTGGGATAATGAGTTAGGCTTAAACAGTTGTGTTGGTTTGACCTCTTAACAAGGTAAGCTATGACTCTGTGTTAACGATGCCGCCTCTCACTGGGGATGCCGGCGAAACGTCCTAGAATGTACCAAGTCAGTGGTCTGATGCTGGAAGTCAGCAGAGGACTCAGGACTTGATACGTTTCACAAGGTCTCCCTGTTGCTACGACCAAGTTACGAAAACCAGGTCAAAGCATCATTATATAGCTAAAGGAGACTGCGACCAAACAAAAGGCCATTCCATCTTACTATTTATATCTACGATTTAAACAGTTATTGCTGTCTTTCTCTTCACGTTGATTTCAATGGCAAGTAGAAGGGAATAATAAATTGCGTGATTTGGCCTATTTGTGCTAATAAGTCCGCAACACTGTCTCGCGACCCCGATGAATCTGTGGCGAGCCTTCATTTATCATGTAACAAACTGTCAGAGAGTGAAACGATGCTTTAATGGAATTTATCAAGTACTAAGACAAGAAAGATGGCCTGCTGCTTACTTCTTATAGCTTGAATTTGCCCTATTAATGAGGAGTCTCATGATTTTGTTGGTTACTTCATTATTTTTTCGTTATTGAGTTACTTAATTATTGTTTATTTATAAGTCATATGCAGCCACTTCACTTACCTGAAAACATGTAAAGAAAGCATTTGGTAGCCCGCCAAATAATGCGAGTCTTAATTAAGTAAAAAAACTCAGATTATAATTAGTTAGGAATGATTACAGCCGGCTAATTCTTTTCTTAGTGCTTAAATTTTGTAAAGCTTGATACGCTTTGACGATGCCTATCATATTATAGTCAAACTCTCAGCACGGCCTCATCGGGGTTTTTGGATGGCTTCGACCCGGGATGGTGTGCTGAGGACTTATTCAAATAAATCTACAATCACAAATCCATTTCAATCTTCCCCCATTATTCGCTGAGGCTAATTTACGAATCCCCTTCACTCGCTGTCTTAAGCAAACAAAAAATTATATCATGAGTTTATTGTGTGGTTCTTCTTAACCTGGATCCTCCGATTGAAAATAGCATTACTTTAATGAGGAATATCTTGCAGAAAATATGGACCCCGAGACCCATTACATGTTTTGGATTCATTTTGAATGGAAATAGAAAGCAGGCTCAGCTTTCAAAAAACGTTGACATTTTTGGATATAACTCTGGCCATTTTTCCAGCTCAAGCAATTACAAAAGAGTGTTTTTCCATCGTCTCCCTTATTCTGTGAGGATCTATCCGACCATTCACCAATGGGTAGCCGAACACGGAATCCGTTTGGAGTCTATTAGATCCAGCGGTCAATGTTGGATGGGCACACTGGCATAAGATATACATACTATTGAATGGCCTTCGACTCGTAGTTATGTTGGCTATAGTATTTCTGCTGCTAAGCGCAAAAGCAGAATTCTTCGAACTCTTAATGAATACGTCGGATGTAAGGAGTGTGATAAGTTAGCTTTAAACATGCGATTGATTGATAGGCTCAGGGATAGGGTAGGTATTCAGCCACCCACAAAACGGAGTTGAAACTATAATTATTTATGAGCTCTTTATGCCATACGTTGTTTAGCAGCCTCTATAATCATTACTTATTTTATATATTCCGCAATACTTAACCACTCAGGCTTTTGTTGCTCAATTTTGCCAACAACATTTGCGTTGCTTCAATCGGCTGACCAGTCCCGGCCGAGATTCTTCTCTCTACTTGGGCCATAGTCAGCTATATACTTGTGGTCTGGATGCGGTGAGAGACTCCATAGCAGGCTATCTTAGTCGAGCTGTTGATATATTTCTCTCCCACCTGAGTCTCGTGCGTCCAGTCTCCGAGACAGGGCGAATGCGGCTTGCTGCCGACTGTGTTGAATTCGAAATGGCTCTTTCTTTTCTCTGCCTAGCTACCACAGAAACATCGCGGGAGTATGGAAATCGGTTGGCGGAAATCGTTCCCTTGGATTACTCATACCTCCGCGAGTTCAAACATCTTCTTTTGGCAAGTATATCAGAAATTGAAGAAGTAAGTAAATTGTTATTAATAATTAATTATATATTACTTTAATTATTTAAGTAGTAATGTAATTATCAGCGGAATGTAAATGCTATCTTCTAGTTATAAGTTTTTAGAAAATTCTCCCAACCACAAATAAAAGTTTGTTCTTTATTCTATATCCACTTCGAAAAGCGTATCCAGTGTGACATACTTTTTAATTATTTGTATTTATATGGAAAA